TATACAAGATGAAGTATTGGCACATAGATTAGGTTTAATACCAATTAAAGCAAATCCCGACGTGTTTAATTATAAAATTGGTAATCATCATTATTATTGAATATTTTTTACCTGTGGTATATTTTATATTGATTTTCTTCTTTTCCTATTATTAGCATCAGATGATCCAACAGATTTAAATACTGTAGTATTCAAAATTAAACATGAATGTACCTTTAACGCTCAAGCATCAAAAGATGAAACTGACCCCAAAAAATTGTATACCGGGTCAAATTGTAGGTTATGCATGTGATTTTTGAATTAGCAGATTTACTAGTTACTGATTGATAGTTTCTTTTTTTCATTATATTGAAATTTAGTATTGTCAAATTCTTTAATATGGAATCCAAGAGGTGAGCAAGCTACAATATTTGCAAATAATCCATTAAGACCTGTACATGATGATATTCTAATAGCACAATTGAGGCCCAATCAGGTAAAAATGGAATAAATTAAGAAATTGGTTCATTAAAAAAAACCATACAATAATAACTATTATTATTATCATTATTATAATTGATAATTATTTAATTTCTAGAGAATTGAACTCGAAGCACATTGTGAAAAAGGAATTGGTAAAGAACATGCGAAATGGTCACCTGTAGGTAGGTAAATATATATAACTAGTTATAACAATATGATTTTAAAATTTTTTGACTAAATACATATATATATAATAGCAACAGCAACCTATCGGTTGATGCCAGAAATAATTATGAAAAAAGAAATAACTGGAGATTTGGCTGATAAATTTGCAGCATGTTTTACTAAAGGAGTAGTCAAAGTTGAAAATAAAATAGGTATTTAAGAAAAATTTTTTTTTTGAAAAAATTGTTTTGGGTAACTCTAAATTAATTTTGTCATGTTTTTAAAGTTGAAAAAAAAAATGTAAAGTATGCTAAAGTTGTAAATCCAAGAATTGATACAGTAAGCCGTGAGGTTTTAAGACATAAAGAATTTGAGGATATTGTTCAATTAACGAGAATACGAGATCATTTTATATGTATGAAATTTCTTGAATTTAAAAATATGTTTTCTTTGATTATTTACTTACCCATTTTAAACATATATACGGGTGTTTTTTATATAGTTACAGTCGAATCAACAGGAATTTTAGAATCAGAAAAGATCTTTACTGATGCACTACAAATTTTATCATCAAAATGTACAAGATTATTAGAAGCATTAGAATGTAAATTAAAAAAATCAGAAGAAAAAGAAAAAGAAAAGGAAAAACAACGCCAATTACATATTTAATTAATTAATCAAATAAAAAATTATAAGTGTAAATGAATTTACCTAATAATTAATAATTTTTTATAGTTTTCTTTCTGTGAGCCAACACTGTAATAACCATACAAGATACTACGAATCCTATAAATTTAAAAAAAGCTGAACGAGATATTTGTTGTTCTTCTTCTGGCGTTCTAAATGATGAAAAAATTCTTCTCAAGTCAGGAAATGGCATTGTTATTTATCTGTCATATATATGAACAATTATTTTGTATTTAAAAATAATTTTTTCTGACCAAATGGTTTTTTTATCTCGAAATTAATAACACGATTTTTTATTTTTTGTGTAACTGAATCTCTTATTGAGACGTAATTTAGTAAGATGATGTACAGTATTTGGATACATTAATATTAATTTTTACTATCAATTAAAAAAATTGAAAGCTAAACCACTTAACGTTAATAAATCATGTGGCTTATCATGAAATGCAAAAACTACCAAAATGCAAATAATATGAAGATGGTGATGGTGAATAACACATGGTGAATACGTCAGAAGAGACTGAAGTGGTAAAAAATTTGACATAAAATATAGGATGTTGAATCAATTTCACCATCATGAGGCTCTAAAAAGGATGATAACTATCATTTTTATAATAAAAAAACACTACCTGAATAATACATGTAATATTTTTGATGGCAGCAATACCAAAACTATTATAATGATTTTATATTTGCTATAAAAAACCTGATGGAATTGATTGACAAGCCAATTCATAATGTGAAGATACACAATGTTTACGTTGTGAGATCTTTGCCTGTATGTTTTTCTAAATTTATAACATTCTTTTTCAATTCTGTGACTTCCTTTTCCCATTCCAAAAGAGAATGATTGTTTATGCAGAGATAATGTTAAAAAAATATATGTGCAAGATTAATCATTTATTGAAATGATTAATTTTTCATCAGCCAAAGGAGAGAAAGGAAATTAACCGAAGTTCAGTCTAATTTTCAAAAGCGAATAGAAGAACTAAAAGCTAATAATGCCACTATTACTATTTAGCAACTCAATTAGAAAATAAACAACAAGAAGTGGCAAAATTTCACAAGGAAATTGCCAGCCAAAAGGAAAGCAAGAATTATTTACAGGGATTGTTGAATAGTTTACTTGGTGGGTTAGTTGGCTATGCTGGAAATGGCAAAAATGTTTCGGAACAAGAAGTTAAAGAAATAGTGAAAGAGGTTAATAATTTGCGGGAACAGGTTGGTTTGAGTTATCCAAAAGATTAGGAGACTTTGAAGGCTGACAAGGATAAACTAATCCAGGAAATAACGCTCGTTAAAAATGAAAGAGACAAAACAATTAGGGAAAGAAACGATTGAAAGAAGTAAAGTGAAAAGAAGAAAAGAGACGACATTTTCTTTACCCCTCCACCCAATGACGATCTACTAAATAAATCAAGGAAGTCAAAGCTTTAGTCTCAAAATATGCAAATAATTAGCTCAAGAAAAAAATATAAAATTAATCCAGTCTCTATCAGCTACATAAGCAGCAAACAACCTTATGTTTGAGCCATAATATGGCGAAGTAACACGCACAATATGATTTTGTTGTTTGTTTCAAGTATCACCGAGTTACAAGCGACTTTATTCTTGATTTTGATTTTTTTTTTTCGTCTATATTTTTTTCTTTGCACTTTTATTTCTTGTTAGGTTTTGAGCATAAAGATTTTTTTTTGATTTTTCAAATAAATAATAATCCAATATTTGAGACTTGAGAACAGTTCATTTATCGACAGGAAACAATTTCGTATGAATTTTTGCTTCCCATCATCAATTCTGCACACGAAATTTTGTAAACGATTCTTCTAATTGAATAATCGGTAAGAAGATAATGAGCCTTCTCTTAAACATTCATGCGAACAAATTTCATTTACGAAATATTCTAACTTTTGCAAGGAGAAATCACAGGAATATGTATTAATATCATTGCAAAGAGTAATATTCAGGGTTCAAAATGACATTATCCATAACCATCCAGGTATTAATTCATGCATAATACTGCCATTGGAAAGTGTTTGATCAAGTTTGATAAGGATGCAGAATATGAAATAGAAGTTTGAAATTTACAAAACATCATATGGCAAACTTATTTTTAATTGGAACGGATAGAATTTTAGGTTGTACGAACAAATAAATTAAAGTCATGTGATAATCACGACTTAAATTAAAACAAGACCTCAACATTGACATCAACGATAACCTTAACGGCAATATCAATTCTATTTCATGAAGAAGCCTTGTGTTCAATATATGAAATTATGAAATTCAATCATTAGCGAGTCTATTGGCCTGAATGAGCATACTCTAACCCTCGTTTGCTTTTTCTCTTCTCTTAGATCATCCAATCATTTCTACTTCACTTGCTTGTCTTACATTTCATCTATCGAATTATTAAGTTCGCATTTAATTTTATCAATAGTAATGCGTATGATATGACTCAATAAATTCAAACTATTGACAATTCAGTGACAGCACCATTACACATCATAACGAGTAACGTACAACTTCAACAACTATGGTGATCGCTTATAACAATATCAACACCTTGTCGGTATTTTACGGGCCTTTATTTGTTTGTAAACTACAAAATATTGATCATTTATTCAATGGATCGAGGTGAATTCGCAGTGAAAGAGAGTCTAGGTTCGATTTTTCCTCCACATAAATATAGGCTATTGCAAAATTCTTATTTCAGGAAACATTTGAATATGATTGTGTGCCTGGAGACTATATCTAGACTTTGATCTCCTTGTATTTACTTAACAAACCATCATTGTCATTGTTAATGGCGATGATGGTAGTACAATGATTGTGTTTAGTTAGTAGTTATTTTTTTAAAAAGTATTATTTGGAATTGAAAACATTATAATTGGTAACAATGGAATTTTTTTAATTGCTTACAAAATATTTTGGATATTAAGGAGATATCTTTGACAGCAATACAGAAATAAGCATAGAGTTATGAGAATATTTTTTAGATATAGCTATTATTGTTGTTGTTATTATTAAACTTTGCCAATGTTAATTAATATTTACATTGATGTTAAATATAAATATCACAAATATATAATAAAACAAAAATAATTGAATTGATAAAAAATCTCTGTATTGATGAATATATATATTTATATTTAGGCAACCATAGTAAAGTTATTTCATATTCCAGGAGATAATAATGAGCACTATATATTATTAAATGAAGAAAAAAAGTTTTTTTGAGGATCCTTTGTGCTGATGATCAAACTTTCTTATTAATAGATATTTTCCAGGAAGAATACAAGTCTGGGAATCATCTTCACAATGTCTTTTGTAATGTTTTGCAAAGTCTTGTGAGGAAAAACTCACTCAACTAGTGGAAATTAACTGCATAATGACTTCCCTAAGACTGCCATAGATAATGGTTAAGTTCTTCCTGAACTAGAGCTAGATGAAGAAGTGGAATCTAGAATTGAGACGAATTGGAATTGGATACAAGACTACAGATAAGTTTGATCAGTGTTGCTATGACTCAATGTGGTGACAACATTATTGATATTAAGAAAATTTTTGGCAAAGATAGCAACGAGTTTCTATTCAATTTGAATAGAAGAAAATTTTTAATTTTTATTCCTTCAAAAAAAAAAGTTACAAATTGTTTATAATAAATAAATATAAATTCTTGTTTATTATTGTTGTTCTTGTATGAATGAAACACCTTTGTTAATATTTGCTCTTAATTCAGGAATTGCAGCATTGAGAAGAGTCTTTTCATATTCAGAAATATCACCAATTGGATGAATTTTTGAAATACCATTTGGCTAAAAAGAAAGTTTATAAATCATAAATAAGGAATTATAAATGCTACAAACATATATATATATATATACATGTTTTTTAAAAAAAAATTTTTTTCACTTACACCTAATTCAATATTTAAAGAAAAATATTCTAAACCATCAATTTTATCCTTGAGGTGAATTTTGTTAATATTGACATAAGCTTGTACAACTATACCAGTTTTACCCTTTATAGTTGCATCGAAAATATAAGATGCAAATACAGCACCAGCATGAGCCATAGAAAGTGTGGCAGATCCTGCACCATCTTTTGCTTTAACAACTTCATCACCACCTAATAAATAGCAATGATCATTTTTAATAATAATAATATCTAATTAACTTAGAGCTACCAAAAAATCCCTCCCAATTATATTACCAAATTGAATACGCTTTGTTAATGAGGCAATTTGTTCTTGAGTGAATTTGTGAGATGGCGAGACTTGAGATAAAAGTGGAATAATTGTGACACCACTATGACCACCAACCACAGGAACACGAATTTCACGAGGGTCAGCACCTGAAATTGAACTGATGAAAGTGGAAGCACGGACTATATCAAGTGTGGTTACTCCATAAAGTCTTTTTGGATCAAACACATTATATTTCTTTAACACTTCTGCAACAATTGGAACTGTGGAATTTACTGGGTTGGAAATGACAAGAATGAAAGCTTTTGGTGCATATTTAGCAATATCTGTTGCTAATTTTTGAACTATCCCTGCATTAATCTGAATTGATATTATTTTGTGATAAATCAAAGAATATTCATAATTACATTAAATATCCTCCATAATATAATTAATATAATTAATACCTTAAATAAATCATCTCTTGTCATTCCAGGTTTTCTAGGAACGCCAGCAGGAATAATTATAGTGTGTGCATTGGTCAATGCATTTTTTAGTCCATCATCATTTGGCAAGTATCCTTGAACTTTTGCTGGTGTGTTAATATGACTCAAGTCAGCAGCCACACCAGGAGTATTTACAATATCATAAAGTGCAAGTTCTGTTACAGCTTCGTTAAGTTTAAGAAGTAAAGAGAGAGGTTGTCCAATACCACCAGAAGCACCAAGTACAGCTACTTTAACCATTATTATTATTATTTAATTTTTATTTTTTTCGTTATAAAGTTTATTGAAAATTAATAAAAAAAAAAAAGTGCTCTTATATATTAATATAGGATCTTGAGACTTTTCTGTTTTGATAAAATTTGTTTGTTACACCATCCAAATAAAACTTAATAAAACAGTTTTTTAATCTTCAGTTTATTATTATGATTATCTGCTTTGTATTTTGAGATTTCAATTTCCACTAATATTTTTTAAAAAACTTTTTTTTATCTAAAGGTTTTCTATCAACTTCCGATCAATCAATTAAGCATAATAAACAAATAATACAAGAGAAAAAGAACAAAACTATTGCTATATCTAATCATGCGTGACATTTAAACTGGTTCCTTATCTTTGCCAAATACACTAATATTAACACTAATACTAAATTCCGATTGATTGATTAATTCATTCATTCTATATTGAATTTATTTAAAAAAGCAGATCCATACATATACTATCTATCATATACAATCAAATAAATATAAAGTCTCGTGCTTCACTCTTTTATTTTTAGAAACCAACCTATTATATAGCTAACCTAACAACAAATTATGGATCCATTTTCCCAAAAAATGTCTCTAACAATATCAGAATTACTTTACCACCTCCAACAACTTTACAAAATAATAATAATAGCACTCTATCAAGATTTGATGATTCACTAAACAACTTGCCCATTATTTCTTCGATATCTTCTGCTTTTAACAATAATAATTTTATGTTTCCTTAAACAATCATCTCTTGCACTAAATAGTAATATTAAGAATAATAGAGGAGTTGAACAGCCATCTATTGAAAGTTTGAGTCATAATGGTCATAGCAATTTCATATCCCCTCAACATCAATTTGATAAATCCAGATGAAAAGTTTGATTACATTATTATAATTATTCATATTTAAAGAAGAATTCTAAAGAATAAGGTATTTCTGTATTTTCCTAAAATATATAATTTATATTTTCTAATCCATTCATATAAGTGATCTAATGCATATATCTTTGGTTGAATTATTATTAGCATTATTATTCATCAACGTTATTATTTTCAACATTATTATCAACATAATTATTATCAACATTATTATCATTATTATCAACCAGAATATAATTGTCAACTGAAAAATTAGTGATTTCTTCATATTCTCCATAATCATCATCATTCTTTGTTGTAAGAGTTTAAAAAAGTAAAACATTTGACAAAAACAAGTTATAAAGTCAATATGAAAGTCTTCTTGAAAGCTTGCTTATCATATAAAAGCTTGAGGCTTTCAAACAACTGCCTTGTCTTTAGTGGAATTGGTGGTTGTTGATGATATAATTGTCTTATCTTATCAAAAAGATCATTGAAGACAATGGTCTTATAGTGAAATTAGATGGAGTTCTATATATGATACAATGTCATCAATAATTAGACTTCATCCATGCTTCCAACTGGTAAGAAATTTCAAATTTAAATATCCTTTTATATTAATTTATTTATTAATTTACCATTTGTTTAGGTTTTAAATTGAAAAGGTCCCCAGTTCTGGTGTAAAATCAATCTTAAGAGAACACAACTTTTACCATAATCTTGAAACTTTGATTTTAATTTTGAAACCAATTAAGGAGACAATTAGTGTGTTGGAGGCTGACACAACCAGTTTAGCACTGGTTTTTAATTTAATTAAATTGGCAGTTGTAATAAAAAAGATTATTACAAAAAATTTTTAAGCAATATGTTGATTGTTTCAATAAAATATGGGCTGGATTTGAGTACAGTAGCTATTTACTTACATTTTTTTTGCATCCATATTATAGAGGTATGTTTTTTTCTAAAAAAAAATTTTACAAATCTCATTATGAATAATTTTAATTTAGGTAGCTGCTATTTATTGGAAAAAAATCAGAAAATTCTTGTTTGTTACTTTTAGAACAATTGAAAAAGTACAAGTTAAAGAAATCTCCATACAATGAACCATATGTTCTAAAACATAGTAATCCATTAAAATGGTTGTATGTTTGTGAAGAAGGATGGCATGGATGACCACTTGCAAGAACTAACAAGTAAATTGTTTAGTATAACACCTTTCTCAGCTAGCTGTGAATGAGTTTTTCAGCAATTGGTTGGTTTTATGGAACAGGAGGACTCATCTTAGTATTAAAAGAATTGAAGATATGGCAAATATTTACTTTTGTCATAGATCTGATATAAAAAAGAACTTCAATATTTTGAAGATGTAAAGAAATGGAAAACTCATAGAAGAGTGGAACTCTCTAAAATTCTATTTGTATAAAAAATTCAAAAATGTATTTGCTCCACTGCATAATTTTTTTTTTGCATTTTACAAATAAAATAAATATTATCGCCTTTTTTTTTTTGCCTTTAGTAAAAAAAAAAGATTACTCTTTAGCAGCTGTGAATTTTTATATTTTCTATGTAACAGTTATATTTATTTAATAATATTAAAAACATATTAAATAAGGAAATAAGAATTGGCCTACTTGTAGAGTTTTTGCTAACAATAATTTTGAATTTTATGAAATTATTCACTAAGCATGAAAGTGAATAAAATCAAAAGAATGTTATGGTGCTATTTATGATTTAAATATCAGAGACATTAGGACAATTATTTCACTCAGTTTTGCTCAATTAAATTTCTTACATTCAAATATATTTATATCTAGAGCATTTCTCCTGGTTGTCACAAATATGCAAAATGATGAACACACATGGTCATATTTAGGGTTTCTATTCTATTTGAATTATTTGTTTTATTTGTTATGAATTCGAATTACTATTACATTGAAAGTTTATTCGAATAAAACTAATAATTCAAATAAGTTTTTTAATTCAAATAAAATTATTGATTCGAATTATCCAATCCAATTAAAAAAATTTTCTTTGTCAACTTATTTTTCCTTAGTCCTTGAATATAGTGATAATAATATTGTGCGTGAATTTGAAATTCACGCGCGTGAAATTCAAATTAGCCAATCAGAATTTTGTATTCAAACACCCACCCCAAAATTTAATTGGTAAATTTCAAATTGACACAAATTTGATTTTCACGCACAACAATTAATAAATAGTAGTAGCTGACATTTTCCTTGAGTCATAGTACTAGCAATTGTAGTCGTAGTAATATAGATTATAAATATAATTATTGCTTATATTATCTTGTTAAAGAAACAAGACCTATATTTTATAAAATGAATAAAACTAGTAATTTGAATAACGAAATGAATAAAACGAATAATTCGAATTAATATTAATATTATGAATAATTGAATAGGAATTTGTATTACGAATTTATGAATAGGAACTCTAACGGAAACGCGGTGAACTTTGAGTTTGTTTTATTATTATTGTGAGATATTACTAAAATAAAAAATACGAAATTTAGAAAATGTGATACGTTCTTTCATTAATTAGAACAAAAAAATTGAACAAGATACTCAGGAAATTGATTTTTTCCACAATGATAAAAATTCAATTGCAAAAAATCTAGAAGAAATACAACTTGAGAAAAACAATGATATAATGGTAAAAACTAGAGTTGCCTTCCGAAACTCACGAGTTTAGAACTATTCGAAATTAAAACCATTCTAAACTGGTTTAGAAAATGTGCCCGAATTCCTAAACTGTTCGAAACCCCTAAACTGTTTTCGAAACCCCTAAACTGTTTTCAAAACTCCTAAAAATTCCAACCAAACAAATAATTTTAATAAAATAAAAACCATTCATACCCAATGTCAAGTTGTTA